AATATATATATTATTATAGTTATTAAGAAGTATAGATTTATATAAATAGTATTTACCTAGGTCTATAAGAGCTATATTAATAATATAAGCTAGTCTTTTAAGAAAACTATACTTATTTTTATAATCTTTTAAGAGTTTAGGCTTAAATAATATATATATAAATTTATTACTCTTTCCTTTATTACTAATAAAGCTTTTATTACCTTTATACTATATATACTTTACTTTTATATATATATTATATTTAATATTAAAGTAACTCTTTATATTTAAAATCTACTAGGTAGTTAAAGGCCTAGCTATATATACCTTCTTATTACCTATTATAGTAAATTAAAGTATATAGTATTCTTTTAGCTTTTACTAATACCTCTTTTTAGTATTATAAGAATATATAAAGTCCTTAGGCTTATCCTTTCTATACTTTTTATTATTATAAAGTATACTATATATAGGTATTAATTTTAAAGGTTAAAGCTTATTATTTATAAAAAAAGAGGTTTTATATTTAAATAAGGTTATTTTTAGTATCTTACCTTAAATAATATAATCTTTATTCTTATATAGCTATAATAAAGCCTATTCTAAGTATAACTTTACTTTAATAGCTTTAAAAAAAATTATTAATTATAAGATAACTATTAGTTAATAGTATATTAAGTAATTATATATAATTATATATTACTTCCTAATTTTTAAGCTATTTTTTAATATTAATATTCTTTTAATATATATCTTATAATATATACTTATATATATAGTCTACCTTAATCTCTATATATACTAAATTTAAAGTAATAATTAACTTAAGCTTTTTAATTAATTAATAAATAGTATACTTTTTTAAATATTCTTTTTTAAGCTTATTATATACTTTAATTATTAAATAAAGATTAATAAATAATATAATAAGTTTATAAACCTTATTTAGCTTAATTTTACTCTTTTTATATACTTATAAAGTAACTTTATATTTATATTATTTTTAATTAAATATACTTTTAAGTATTTTAAGCTTTTTAAAGTTTTTTTTAATAGGTTTCTTAATCTTTATAACTTAATAAAGTTCTTCTTTATATATCTTAATCCCTATAGGTAAGTTAAGAAGGTTTATTAAGTTATTAATAATATCCTTTTTTATAAGATTAATAATTATTTATATACTTATTATAAAGAATTAAAAAGCTTAAATCTAGTTAAACTAACTCTTTAAACTATATTATTTAAGTCTAGGTAGGACTATAGCTTTAGTATAGAATAATATAATAGAATAATAGAATAATAGAATATTATATAATAATAATAATAATAATAATAATAAAAAAATAAAAAAAAAAGAATCTATATAATATAAATATTATAAGAAGTTTTAGGTTATAATAAATATTTTATATAATTAAAACCTTTTAAGCTTATAACTATAGAGTATTAATATAATTATATAAAATAGTAATATAGTTAATATAGCTTATAAAAGAATAATAGAAAGTAAAGATAATAAGGAAAATTAGCCTTATATTAAATAAAGCTATAAGGGATAACTAGTTAATTTATATATCCTATTTCCTAGCCTTAGGCTATATAATTTAAGTTATAAGATAATACTATATCTTAGGATACTTAAGGTTATTGCTTATCTATGCTTATCGTCGGTGTGGATAAGATAAGCTCTCTTATCGAGGCAGTGCTCTGTGCGATAATTCTTCCCACCGCGTCGCGCACCATGCACCATCCCCCCCCACCCCTCCCTTGGCTCGTGTCTTGATGCTCTGCCCCTCCCCTAATACCGATGCCACCATTGCCGCAAGCCATATGTACATATCTCCATATCTCCATATCTGGGGTAGTACACAGTGCGGCCCGTCGTACGCCTCTTTCCACAGTACTCCCAACCAAGTACAGCCATCGCGACCCTTTGTGCCCCGTCGCATTTCTACTTTCGTCTCTGTACCATGTGATGCCACCTAGTGCGTCACCTGAACACCCGGCACCGCAGTCCATCTTAGCTGCGGCCCGCTATCGCCATTGCTGGTCTATCATGGAAGCCAAACTACTATTATTCATTCTTTGCCACGCGCTAACAGTCTCCTGCTCATATTCGAAACCTGCCTCGTGCTTCTGCCTAAAATGTCACCCTGCATTATTCAGTCCTCCCACAACCCTGCCTCTAACCAAGTGGACGCAAAAAAGTCATAAATGTATGCATAGAAAAACATAAGTGACTTGGAGCTGCTGTGTAATAAATAAAGGGACCGAGTCTTCCCTAAAGCAAGAAAAGGTGCTCAAACCCGGCGTCTAGAGTCCACGGAATAGTGACGACAGCGACATTCGGAGAGAACTTAAAACAAACGGCGGCAAGAAAAATACGGAATCAAAGTGGGTTACTATAACGCATAGCTATATGCACAGAAAAATCAGGCGGCCATGCTACAAGGCACAGTCCACCGCCTCTGCAACGAAAGAAGCCGACACTACGCCAATGGACTTGGACACTGACAAAGAAAGCGACAAGGCACCTTGCGTGGGGATAGTAAGATCAAATACCATGAAAATGATGACTCTGTTATTGACTGACAGGACTTCAAATTACTTTTGACTTCCCAACTCTTCTCTGGCCGTCAAGTCCCTTCTGGCGGAACAAAATCGCCATCTCATTGGCAAATGTTAAGCCGGGCCCTCCTATCAAGGTATTCCACAAGACGCGCCGAAAACTGCCTTTTCCACCGTAAGCAGTACCTCGCGCCCGCTCAAGGTAGAGTACTACAACCATGGCGTACGTTATCAGTAGGAAGTCCAAGCCAGCAAAGAGCTGGGCGCTTGATACCGCGCCGATTTCATGCCATGGCCATGCCAATCTCCAGTGCGGGAAGCTTTGCCACAAGGTTGTCAAGACTGGGTTGACAATATCCGAAGACATTGTGGATGACTGAGATGACGAGATCGAGTTTTGTGGATGAAGAAACATGAATGCGATGCCGCCCCTAAAGAGGTACATCAGTAGCTGCGCTGCGACACCCAAATACGTTGAATCCTGCCATTAACATACCACCAGAGTAACAGGCTAACAAGACCTAATCGCTCAAAAGCCCGTGATAGTTGAAGGTGTTGCTGATTGCTATTGGCGTGATTGCGGCGGTCGTCGGAACTAAACGTGCGCAAGGCCAGATGGACAGCTGGGGTGATGACTGGATAGAACTTGGGTTGCCGTGTCAGCACCAAGACAAGCAGATGCAGAGGCCTCTCACTTACTTGAAACACTATTTGCGATCGCTGGAACCACCACTCGTTGTGGATGTTTGTGAGCAGAAGCACGGAGCCTGCCAGGAACTGCAGCACCACTGTCCAGAAAACGGCCGTGGTGGCACCTCCGCGGATGGCGGAGCGTGTGAGTGTCCAGTTCTTCTGTTTGATGAGGAGAGGAATCCAGTAGACGGTCAAAATGGCCTGGAATCCGAAAAGCTGAGAAGCCAGTACAAGAATCGCCACGGACCAAGGGCGCATGCCCCGCGTGGGAGTAGCCGCCATCATGACTGCGGCAAAATATCCCCAAAACGGAATCACGAGTGATAGCACAAGCTGGATAAGCTTGATTTGTGTGTTAGAAGTTGATCGGTAGATACTTGGCCGAGCACTTACTCCCATACTAAGGGTCGAGTCGGTAAACCCCTTGATAAAGATTGTAAGTCCGCACCATGTCCAGTCAAGAGGGAAGATGCCCAAAGAAAGCATCACGCCATGTTTGCGTCTGAATTCCTCCGAGTGGCAGTTTTGGACAATTTCTTGCCCCAGACCATCGCTGGCTCCAAAAACGCTCACAATAGCACCGACGGTTCCCAGCACGACTGATGTCGCTGCTAGCCAACCGAGTTTATTGCTGCTCGTCATGGTTGTCTTTTTCATTCTCACGAGTTCGATCGCTCTGCTATAGTTGTCGGGTTTGGATATTTGGCAACACGACGTGAGCACGTATAGGTTGGGTTAATATACATTGGATTTCGGCGAAAAAGAGATTGCACATGCGCCAAGTCCCTCGGCAGCAATGTACATACATGATGAGTGATCAACAAGCGCAAAGGGATATAATCTGATCGGCCGACTTGAGGAGGTGCGATTGAGCCGGAGCACGGAGTACGCTAACGGGCCGTCCGGTCTCCGCCTCCGCTCTCCAACGGCTGGGGATCGAGAAGACGCTGTGCACATGCTTGTAATTAATGTCATTTTTCAATGTTACCCTGGCCATTACTTCTCAAATTCGTCGAAAAGTCTCTACCACATACATATGCTTTGGCTGCTGCTACATGTGCCATGTCCGCTGCGCAATGCATTCCACATGCGCTCCAAACACACCAAACACACCAAACACCGATGCGCACACTTGTACTTCTAGGAAGAAAGGAGATTAGAAGAAATTCAAGCAATATAAGAGGGATAAGAAATGTAAACAAAATTAGATAGATACGGAAGTTAATAAACAGTCAGAAAATATTACGAATATGGAAGATGGTAGTGTTCCTAATTGGCGTTATTTTGTCTCCCTGGTGGCAGGATCACACCATTGTGCCCAGGTTTTGTAGCCTCGACAACTTCGTGTTGGCAGAATCAAGACGAATATGAACGGAATTAAAGTATTTAGCTATTAATAGTGCTCAAACGTTTCGCTTTCAATTCATTATGCCATACTTGTGAGCCAGGCGGATGTCTCAATGATCGTTGGTCTCACAGGGCTGCCTAAACGGGAAACGGCGGCAGTGCGCACTCAAGAAAAGTATATCTATGTACTTTACGTATAACTTAGAATGGTTACAGAAAAGCTACATACAGGTTATACTTGCATTGGTCTGTCCAACTATACTTGTCAGGTGGCCGACATTGGACAGAGGGTTAAGTAGGGTGACGGCACGGCACATGACATGAGAGCAGGCGCAGGCATATATAGAGCGGATGTTTATATACCTTCCAGAATGCAGCCTTGTTCACCACAACTGCTGTAGTATGGCACATTAGGCCTTGCTTCGTAATTCGCGCAAATGAGGCAAAGCGGGAAAGAACGCGTAGCATCGACTCCGCGTCGTTATTGGACCTTGGATTGCTCTTCGGGAGCGATGCTGTTCTGGAACCGGTAGGCAACCCGAGTACCCTTGTAACGGCAGTAGGAGATATGCCGGTGTGCACCAGTCGTCGGGCTTTGGCAGAGCCTCATCAAGACAGTCGTCAAAGTACTTGTAATGGTCGCACGAGGCCAGTGTTCGAAACTCGATGTTTTTTTTTTTTTTGATAAATAGATTTAAGGGTGAAGAGCTCTGTAGACTGAATTTTGAACCGGTCAAAGGGTATACAACGTCTGTGTCCCGCGCCGCTTTCTGGGCATAGCTGTCAAAAAGCAAGTGCGCCATCCATTGACCATCCAACCATCCAGCCCAACTTCCTGTATCTCTTAATGCCTTTTGATAGGATGTAGATCATCATGGATTGGGACAAGAAACCCGTCGCTACTCGACGCTGGTACTGCCCAAGTGGAGAATCAGCATTCCATCACTCGGCCTCAGGGAATAACCATGCGATGTGACAGCACTAGTGGGAATAAAGCCTGTATTTAGCACTGAGAGTGGAGCTGCGCAGGTCAATCCATGTTCTATTAAAGCAAGTCTGTGTCGTTCTCTAGCCTACGCTTTCCTTGGTCTTGGCCCATGCTTAGGGTGGTGAGATCGCTGAAATTAACCAAATTAACCACAAGCACAAAGTGATAACTGTAACTGGAATGAGGTTAAGATAGTCATCAATAAGGTGAAGAGGTGCCGCCCATGCCAGTATCCAGCGTAGCAGTACATTGATTGAACCCATTTCTAATACACGCCCTGTACAACCATGTAAGCCTAAGTAGCGAAGATGCAAACCAAACTAAACGTACTGCATGTCTGAAGACTCGGATATTTGCACGCGAACGCAATGGAAGTGAGCAAGGCTGAGATTGCACCGTATTTAGCGCCTATAGCAAGATAGTTCCTAGTGTTAGCAACCTAGGTATCCATCCAGATCGATCCGCGTAGACTGACAGCGGAATAATACTCCGGCTGTAGACTGCCTCCGTTCTAGGGACTCGTCCTCGCGCATCTGCCTCCGTTCTAGGGACTCGTCCTCGCGCATCGATTTGAGTAAGCAATCGCCAAGGGAGTAGCCAAACAGTATGATCAGGTCCGAACGTGTAGAATCTCGTAGATCAGAGCCACGACCATACTTCCAGCTCAGGGCCAGTTTAGTAGCTTGATCAAGCGGGACGTCATGTTTAGCGGTAAGCAACTGGGCCAGGTATTCACGGACTTGCTTCGGCGTAGCTGACCGGTCGGGGAATATGCGCGCCATCTTCGTCGAGATAGCCTGTTGTGTTTTGGTCGAGTTCAGTGGCAGAATTGGTCTGCACAATTTCCACGTGGCACGCGCGGTGTTTGCAGGCACGGTCGGCACGCTGACTCATCTAGCTACCTACCTACCTAGGTAGCTTAGCGATGCTCTTTATCGTCACCTTATCATTAGCTACCCCGCTAGATCGCTTCCTCTCTGTCTTTCTCCTTCATTTATCACATCCATGGTTGCTGGATTCGGCCAGTCGAGTCATGTGAGCGCCGACTGGAACGCCCAACGCTGACCAGGATGCGTTATAGTGCGAACGTTTGGGCTTGTGCCTTGCCTTCTCGGTCTCATCTTGCTTTGCTGTGAATATCGGATCGGCAGACTTGTCGATGTCTGTCTGCGCGGCGCGTCACGGTTCGCCCAGGACAGCTGGCGAGGGTCGTGCGCGGCCTCCGTGTCTGCGTCCTGTATGTGTCGAAGGCTTACTAGCTAAGTATCAATTACAAATGATTGGCAAGGTCAGGATCGTTATAACATGCTTGTAGCAATAATTGTATGACATATATTCTCTGTCTATACCGTCAAGGAGTATCCCGACTAAATGAAAGTTCCAATCTCAAACATCAAAACCGATCTGCAACGTTCTATATCTTGTCCCCTTCTAAAAGCAAACATGATTTTTCCGGACATTTAGGCAGAGCAGCTGATGGCAAAGCCATTGGCCCAGTCGACCGGCTGCTGGGAAAAGGTTTGGTAGTCCTGGCTGGGGTTGTGGATCTCGGCGACCTTCTTGGTGCCGTCCTTGAGGACCTCGCAGGAGACGAGCTGGAAGTTGCTGGTGAATTGGAGGCTGGTGACGAGGAGGGTGCCGTCCTTGAAGAGGTTGGTGTTGGCGTAGGCCTGGCCGAGCTGGACTTGGGAGCCGTCGAGCGGAATCCAGGCGTTGCCGTTGGCGCCGCTCCAGTTGTTGGCGAACTGCACCTGGACGCTGCCGGTGGCATGACTCTGGGGGGCCGCGGAGACGAAGGCGGCGAGGAGGGGGAGAGCGAAGGTGATGGTGGAGAGCATTGTGAAGGATGGCTTGGATGGAAGGAGTTGGGTGTTTAAAACTGCTTGAGAAGCTCAGAACTGGTGTTTGGTGGCTGTAGTAGTTGTTGTATTGACAAAGCTGTTGGAAGTGATGAGAGGAAGTATGGATGAATGATGGGATGAAGAGGTGTTTATATACACAATTAAGAGACCAGGCGTCTGTTATTTATAGCTTCTAAAGTTAAATCTATATACGGCTTTATTTTCGAGATTCGCCTTGCCTGATGGTGTAAGTGTGCGCGTGACTTGGAATCATACCCTTTGTAGATGTCTCTGCGCTGTATCGGCACAACGGCAGGCTGTAGCCTCGCAGGAAGTCTCCGACCAGAGCTGGCTGCGGCTAGCCAGAGCGCGACTCGTATCCAGGTGGCATTGCCTAACGTCATATTGGGCGCCACCAGCTAGGTGTTCGAAACTGTATGTGCCTCCCAAACAGTCGGATTCCACAACCTGCAAGGCCGTGTATCGTAAGTCGCTAGCCGGGCTCGTGGACGTGTACTGAACTAGGCTGGCTCCGGCTTTCGTTTTCAAACTCTCTGACCCCAAACTCTAAGTCCATGAAGCAAATACTATGAAATATTTTTGACTCTGGTCTAGCCTCTGCTCTACACTCGCCTGAATACAAATGTGCACAATGAATCAATGTCCGGCCGTTGGGCTGACTGTCGGGCTGAGTATTGCGGTTGTCGGAAGGACCGGGCGTATGAGCATTTTACACCCGGATTGAAACTAGCCTCAAAATGAAGCTATTATTGTCACCACGATGGTATTCAACACGTCTCTCTTCAGCTCTGTGCTGAGCTGAGCCTTATTATCTGGCACTGCCTCCACAACAAGGCTTCAGCTGCAAGTCATCATCCTCACCGCTAACTAGTGTTGGTAAGACCGAAGGTGCCCCAGAGGTGGCGCTTGGTGAACTAGTATAAAATAATGCCTTATTCGATACTTAGTCAGCCCATGCCTAATTTTAGGTTCTGCAGGCAAGCTGCTACATAAAATGAGCCACGGTTGGGTGCGTGAGCTGGACGAGCCGGGGGAGAAATCGCAAGGCCAGTTAACTGGCTCGAAGGAGCCTGCACCGTCAATTTCCACGGTCAGCCGCTGCTGCCTTGCTCTCGAAGAGAGTGTAAAGTGGCGATGTGAGAACTTGCTACAGAATAAGCAGAGTAATCGTGGGTCGGCAAAGGGTGATGGCAGTCTCAGTCTGCGGGCGGCATCGCTGGCGCAGTTCGCTGTAGGGCGTCAAGTACGCCGCCGATCTGTTCGCCAACGGCTGGGCGTGGCGCTGTGCTTCCGCTAATATGGCGAATTTGTGGGTTGATCGCTTCAGCCTTCAATGGTTCTAAATTTGTGTTGCCACTGTTTACTTGGCTTACTGCTGTCCGTCTATACTCCTTATAAACTTCGGAGAGGAACCGTATAACTACGTACTGTAATACCCCGTACTCTGTAATTTGTACAGCTACGTTTGTACAGACACTGAAAACTGAAGACCCCCTTAGGCAGGATTTTCTGGCTGTTGCATTTCTTTTCCAGCTGACACTTGACGTAGTTGTCTCAGCCTCGCGCCCGAAAAGTGGCTGACGTTATGTTTATTATTATGCTACTCCGTACAGCCGGAAGACAGAAGCCGCCTCAGGACCGCCCCCAATCTGATCCTGCCATCTCGGTGAGACCGTTTCGTGCACAATTGATCGTATAGCCCCAAGTATATTTATCGGGCGCAGAATTTACAGCGATGGTCGGCTTCTCTAATGTAAGGTCAACGAGACCGTATTGTCACTTTTCATGTCGGCAAAAGAAAACAAAACATGTTCTTAGGCAACATACATCGCCGCCGAATCCAGCGGCACGATTGCCGCCATATTGAATGACCACCCTGTCTGTTTCTCAGCCGGATCACACACAGCTGTGCCGGTGCCGTGGTGGAGCAGGCTATTCGGGGATTGTCTCAGCCTCGCTGGCAGCCCAGGGCGAAATCCAAAATCAAGCCGACTACTGTATTCAATTTGGAAATATTCTCAGAGGAAATGACAGACCAGATAGTTCTGACAATCTGGTTCATCAATCTCTTTCCACTCAGGACTGTTTCGAGAAGGGAGAACTTGGACACTCAAGCTTCAAGATTCAAGTGACAGTTTGGCGCGAGTCAAGCCTTCGACGTGGGAGGGAAGAGTCGACCACGCTTCCGTCGATTATGACCACCTCCGAGCAGAGGAAAAAGGCGTCCCCGCCATCTTGCCGCAAAGTATCGTGCAAGCGCCCAATCGTAAATTGATCCGACGAATGCGGGCCGTCAAAAACTTGAATATTCAGAAACATGGACAAATTTATGACGAGTTCGAAGCTCTTCTGCCGAATATAACCATCGCCGAACAGAGGAAGAAGGCGTCCCCAGCCATTTTGCCGCAAAGTATCACGCAGTTAAATGATCATCCACGAGCTGTCAAGCAAGCGACCGATCGAAAAACACGACTCTTGTTTCAGAAACATACAATGATTGCTTTTAGACGTGGCATTACAATTCTTTACTTTTGTTGGACATAGTAGCCATTACGTATTGCGCGACTATTCCACATGCACATGAACTGTTATAAGCACCACTAATTTGTAGTCTGCGGCAATTTGGGTGGGAGGACAATTTTAGTGACTGAGTTCTTTAAATTACCTATGCCGCCAGCCTTTTATCCTCTTAGATTAGTCGCTTTTAAATAATCTTTATTACGTTACTAATAAGATAATATACCTATATATCCCTAGGTATGTCGGGTAGTGTATCTTGTTCTGTTCATCCTCGGGATGACTCGTCTTACAACTCTTGGGTGAGTACAGTGAGAGCAACCTGGGTCCCATAATATGCTTAACTAGCGAGTCCACTCAAAATCATTATAGGCCAATCATATGCTACTATGGGGTTAGGCATCTTTTGCCTCTTCTTTGTTTGCAGACAGTTCTGGCTGTGTGCAATACAAGGTAGGTAGACAGTGGGCCTCAGCTAATTCAGCAATCACCACGGAATTGCCAGATTCTTGCTTATCTACAGCCCCGACTTAGATTCACCAAAGTGCCTATCCGCTATATCTTCGAATTTATCTCACCGTAAGTAGCCCCGATTTTCCCGTTGACCTCTTTCTTCCCCTCCCTCGTCATCCCCTCAACCCCACCTCTCCCCTCGGTTGACCTTGTGACCTTCAACTCACGATACCACTGCCGAATAAAGCGCCTCGAGCCTCCTATTTTTCGACTCCCTGCAGCCCGCAGCCGCCTCGACGCCACCCCGGCTGCCTACCCGTTTCTCCTCGCCCACACACCGTCACACACATGCCACGATGGACGGCAGCACAGGTTCCTCTAGCGCTCCCATGGCCTCTGCCCCCGCCCATGCCGCCTCGCAGCGCCCTGAACCAGCGGCCACCCCCGGAACCGGCGCTGACCTAAATCTCGGAGGGCCCAGGCCTGCTGCTGCCGCTGCTGCCGACGACGCGCCAGCTCTGCCAGCGTTGACGCTCCCTCCCATTGTGGCCCCCTCATCCTACTTGCGAGTGAAGAAGCCTGTCGCCCCGATCGCCATGCCCTCCCCGCCCGAGACCAAGACACAAAGTCCTCTGGACCGCGAGCAGCGCGAGGGCCTAGTATGTCGACACCCTCCCTCTATTTTAAACGGCTGCGCGCGTGTCCGTGCTGCCAGGTTGTCAGACCGCTAACCTAACCGGCCTCCAGGAAGCAATCCGCGATTTTCTCAAAGTCCGCACCAGCTACGACGTGCTGCCATTGTCCTTTCGCCTCATCCTCCTCGACACCGACCTGCTCATCAAAAAGAGCCTCAACATTCTCCTCCAAAATTGTGCGCCCACCCTGCACGCTGTCCAATGCCAAATAACCTCCGCTGACTGCTGCTCTCGTAGCCATCGTGTCTGCTCCGCTATGGGACTCGCAAACATCGCGCTTTGCTGGGCTCTTGACCAGTACCGACTACATCAATGTTATTCAATACCATATACAGTATCCCGACGAGATGAGCAAGCTCGATCAGTTCCGTCTCCGCAGCCTGCGTGGTAAGAAAAGCCTCCCGAACCCCTCCTTCCTCTACCCCGCTCGGGCGCCTATTAACATGTGCCCAAGACATTGAAAAGGCAATCGGCGCCAGCCCGATCGAAACACTCTCCGTCCATCCGTCGCGCCCGTTATTCGAAGCATGCAAACAAATGCTGAAAACCCGAGCGCGCAGAATTCCGCTTGTCGACGTCGACGATGAAACGGGCCGCGAAACTCTCATCTCCGTCATCACCCAATATCGTATTCTGAAGTTCATTGCCGTCAACAATGCCGATTACACTGTCATGCTCAAAAAAACTGTACGAGAAATCAATCTCGGCTCCTACAATGACCTCGTCACCTCGACGATGGATGCCACAGTGCTCGACGTGATTCGTCTCATGGTGGACGGCAACATCAGCTGCATTCCAATTCTCGACAGCGAAGGACGAGTCCAAAACGCATTTGAGGCGGTTGACGTTATTCCGTGCATCAAGGGCGGCGTGTACGAAGATCTCGGTGGTTCCGTCGGAGAGGCTCTTTGTAAACGCCCAGACGACGCTCCAGGCATCTACACCTGCAGCGAAGACGATCGACTCGACTCCATTTTTGACGCCGTTCGAAAGAGCAGAGTTCACAGACTCATCGTCGTCGATGATGATAACAAGCTCAAGGGCGTTATTTCTCTTTCGGATATCATGAAATATGTATTAGGTGAAGACGAGGACGAGGACGAGGTTCAAAAGCAATGAGGCTTCCCGTGCGGATATACGGGTTAAAAGCTGAGGGGTTGGGACAAGGCGCATTGCATTCTATTCGGCGTACAGGACGGAACTAATGTCAAGGCTCTTGCTTTTCTGACATATGATGCGGCTATCCCTATGATTTATAGACGGGATGTAGGGCCGCGTTTGTCAACACCACGGCACATGGATATTTCTTTCAATTTCAAAGCTCAAAATGCCATTTTCTGCAATTGACCGTTCAGCGTCCTAGAGTACCTTTCCCTTGCCCAGCGAATTGCCAACTGCCCGTCTTGGGGCTGCTAGGTAGCCAGGTTGACCTGTCAACTGCATGTTTCTGTCCTACCTAAGTAAGGCATTGCACTTTGTTTGGCCTGCCGCGGCCGCGCGCGTTTGGCAGGTGTCAACAGCCAACAGTACCAAGTACCGCACACTGCCAACTGCCAACTGCCAACCACATACCTACCTACTACCCAAGGACCGCATCACTTCTCCCATCCATGCCCGTATCCATTTGTCTCTGGTCTTGCAACACCATGCGTGGCTGATCCGACTCGTTAGGTTTGGTCATGGCATCCAAAGCAAACACACCCCAGTACCCTCCGTCCATCAACCCGCCACTTCTGCCGCTCTCCGAGAGCGCCTTTGGCAGACCCCTACCTGCGAGCTCGACTTTTCACAGCCTGATGCACAATGGCCGCCCTCTGTTCAGCAGTCATACCTGGACCTCGACTAGCGGCGACCTCGGTCTGCTCAAAGATGCCGACGAGGTCGAAGACCGGGCCATATTTGTGCAGGAATACAATCGCTTGGCCAAAAAGGTACGCGTTAGTGTCGCTTGAGTTGTTCGGGAGCTAACGAATGAAAGCATGGAATTCGACCATTGATACTCGATGATTTTGACCCAGCCAAACCAGTAAGATTTGATGTAGCCCAGATTCACAGAGAAGATTAACAACCACAGGATGACAACGAAAAGCCCAAGCGTGGATGGTTTCGTCGAATGTTCTCGTCTGGTTCCCGGTTGCCTTCCGATTCTAGAGACCGCGATTCTCTGAGATCCCGACACCGACGAAGTGCATCTGACTTGGCACATCTAATTCACAGCAAAAGGGAAGCTCCAAGTGTTTTAGATCTTCAATCTATGGTGCGCCTCAGCGGCAAAAGTTCTCTCTATCTGCCAACCGAGTATGCACCGTGTGCTTTGATACTGCCAACATGCATACGGGCGACCGCCCAATACGTGGCACAACATGCTAACACGCGTGGGATATTTCGAATTCCTGGCTCTATGAAGGTTGTTGGAGCCTTATTCGACTACTACTGCCACATGGATAAGAGCGGTGCCGATATTTCCGGAACCGTACGATCAGCAACATTGCCACTACATATTCATTACTCAGCTCACGATGTCGCGTCAACATTGAAGAGACTTTTGTCAACATTGCCCGGTGGCATACTCGGCTCTCTTCTACTATTTGACTCGTTCATAGCTATCCAATCACAGCTAAATGCGGAACCCGAGTTTCCACGAACCAATCAAACCAAGGTCAGAGCAAGATTGATCGCACTAGCCATTGGGACAATCGAATCGCAATACCGAAGAGAGTTGATATGTGCAATATTCGGGCTGCTCAGCATGATTGGTCGCATTGCGGAGGTGGCCCCAAGAGAAGACGAGTCTGGCTTGCCACTGCCGACAACAGACCTGATGGGTTATGGTGCGCTCAGCATTTGCTTTGGACCGCTACTTATTGGCGACTTGCTCGCATCATACACAATGAAGATCGCCGCTCTAGACTCAGGTCTTATCCTCCTGCCACCAGCTACGCAGCAAATTCGCAAGGACACGCGAAAGAACAGGCCCGGAAGTAGCATCAAGAACGTTCAGCCGGCCGTTGACAAGATCCTCATTGCAAATAGAGTGACAGAAATGCTGATTTCGAATTGGAGAGACATTGTTCGGCAGATGAAGTCACTCGGCACTCACAGAAGAAGACATACGTCTGGCGGCAGCTTCAGCAGACCGTCACTTCGGCCGTCCGCTTCGGAAGCCTTTTTGACAAAAATCCCAAGTGATTTCCCTCAAATAAGACCAAGCTCGGCGGTTGTTACTAGAAACACGACAGAAGATGCCGATTTTGGGTTTGCCGCCCTGAACAAGCCCCCAATCCCAGCGAAACGAGCTTCCGGCTTTCTGAGGCAAAAGGCTAGCGTTAACACTCTGAGCCCTACTATAGAAGAGAGCCCCAAGAATGCGCGCGTCAGAAATGAAGCCGTAATTGAAGAGGAAACCGGGCCTGGCAAGCACTTTATGACCCCAGATGCAGAAGCAAAGCCCAAAGCAAACCGATCAACCATGACTGAAGGAACCCAAACAGAGATGGGATCTCCCGTGAAAAGGAAGAGGTTCACAGTTCCACCCAGACTATCGTCAATTGATTCGCTAAACCAGCCTCGACCGGAAGCTGCTGATGGAGGCCAAATCCACCCGAGTAGCAAGGATCAAGTGCTAGGAAAAGACGAAACCAGACCGCCCCCAAAACGAGAACCTAACAGGCGTGTAAATTCAGGACAAGACACCCCTCCTCAGTTCTATTCACCTGCCATGTCAGCCCCGGTATCTGGTGAAATGTCTCAAGAGACCCCTAGCGGGACAAAGACAGAAAATATCGAAATGTTCCCTGGCAGTGCACAGGGGACCAAGGCTGTACCACCTAGGATGAGCGGGGCGCAATCTCCAGCGACAGATTCAAAGTACCAACTGAAGCGATACAAACGAAAGAATTACGAACCTCTGACTGGTAGCCCGATCAAAGGTAGAGGTACGCCCAGCCCTGGGGAAGACGTCGCTCATGGCTTTGGAATGGTCAGTACGCCGAGCGATATTGAAAGCGGAAGTGGTATGCCAAAGACTGGCAAAGGCAGCCATCCAAACAGTCCAGTCAAGACCAATCCGAGGAAGCTAAAACGATCGAGAAGTGGCCCACTGGCAGACTCGACTACACGAAAGTATGATGACGTGTTTAAGCCGAATCAGTGTGCCCCAGTGGTAGTTTGGAGAAACGGCGTCCTGCAGAAAAGCCCTCAGGCCAAGGTGCTACGTTCCTCTGTAAGTGACGGGGTTTCATTGAGAGCGTCGGCGATAAAGAGCCTGATCAATGCCGGCAAAAGTCGAATCAAACACTCTCAGGCTAGCAGCGACAAGAAACGTGGACCGTACAACGACCATGAAGAGCCCGATTCATGGGCCACGTGCTGTCAGGAAGGTTTGCCTATGTATAAGAGGCCAGAGTCCATCATTCGGCACTTGAATGTGTGTCACGGATACAAGTTATCGCCCGAGTTGCATCCGGATTCCGAGGCGGTAATTCCGCTATATCGCGTTATTATATCTCTCCATGACAAAATTATCAAACAACAAATGGGGTCGAACCCGTTGCAAAAGGGAACAGAAGATAAGCGACGAGACGAAACGTGCAAACTGAGACAAGATGTTGGCATGTGGCGGCGCAGGGCTGAATCTGCTGAGAAAAGAGTTCTAGTATTTGAGAGGTTCACCGAGCGGCTAAAGGGTATTCGTGATGCGGCGATTGCATCGGAGCAACCTGGATGGCAAGAAAGCGAGCAGCAGGGCGACGCATCAGCGAGCGGCCTCAAGTTGGATAATGAGTATGTGGCTGCAGCTGCTCGGGTCCGATTTGCCACGGTGGATGGCAAGGAAGAACAGGCTACTCCCGGGGAGACCGTTCCGGAACAGAGGAATGATGGGCCCCGTACAAGTGCGGAGAGCAGACGAAGCAAAACTTGTACAGAGTGTGGCGAGGAGCCAAAATTGGGTAGGCGAGCCCCTGTAGGCCAGCAGGAGGGTGGACTGCGTCCGAGACCGGCCAGCATTGACGAAGTAGCTGAGCTGTGGATGGCAGCCAAGGAACTGCTTGATATGGACAGGAATGAGGACACTTGAGCGTGTTGCATCCTGAGGCAAGCAACCAGTGGAGTGCGAGCTGTAGGACTAGATGAATCGGTTCATTATTGTTTCATAGGGGAGGAAGTCGATTATTGTAACAGACAGAGCAGAATTTGCAATCACGGAATAAAAGTATCGATTGGCATGGACTATTACTATTATACTGTATGATTTACAGCACCATTCCAGAGACGACCTGCAGCATGTCATCGACCATTTCTTCTACTTCAAAGTCAGTATCGAGCTCCGAGACCCAGGAGTTGCCAGTGTTCGAGAGCCGTCGAACAGGGGTCAGCGGACCGATACCCGAAGCGGGTGGCGAAAAGGGATAAAACACGGGTTGCGCAGAGGGGATATACGGCGACTCGGGAAGATTGCCAGCCTCCCACGCAGGTGATGCAGGGTGACTCCATGCGCCATCATCATCATCATAATCATCGTCCACGGTCGCGGCTGTTGACGTCGACTCTTGCGTCCAAAGTGTGGCGTCCACCTCGCTCACAGTCGTAGGCATAGTTTCCGCCGCCAGCGGCCATACCATGGCCACCCGGGCCGGCCAGTAACGGGGCTCGTGGTCGGCCGCAGAGCGGCGGCTTCAGTTGTCGGCGCCGCCAAAGAGGGCCTTGTACCGCTGGGTGACCTCGGCGACTTGGGAGCAGAGACCCATGTCTGTGAGAGTGTCAAGATCGGGTGACGTTTTGGGGGGAAGGGTGGAAATGGGACATACCGACGTTTGCGCCGACGTCGCGGGAGCTCAGGGCCTTGATGGAAAGGTCGGGGTTGACTTTCCCGATGAAGAGGGCGGCGTTGCCATTGGTGAGGTGCGCTTCCTACAAAAATCAGCCCCATATTAACTTTTGGGTTTCAAGCAGGGAAAAAGGGAGTGCTGGGAGAGAAGAGACGGTACCCGGTTCAGAAGAATGGTGACGGTGCCGTCGGCGTCAATAGTGGCCTGGTCGCCGCGCAGCTGGGTAACCTTGCCGACGATGCTGACGTGCTTGTTGACAAAGGCGTCGAGGTTGGGTGCGGTGATGCGCGGAGAGGCAATGTGTTCCGACATTATGATAGAATTGACTTGATGTACTGTTGTTTCGAGGATGGAATTGAGATTGTACAAGTGAGGGCGTGAGAGACGCGGTGGGGGCGCGTCTCGCCACTGAATGTGGGTGGGGGAGGGGTTGACGTGCGCCGGCGCGACATCAGGTGACTACGTGTTGGACCAGGGACATTGGAACAGGCAGAGAAATGGAAAAGGCAGGAACAAGATGGGGAAAAAAAAGAGCGAATAGCAAAACAAAGGTCCCTGGACTAGCACATGCAATCCAGTGCTTAGCTGGGCTATTTTACAAAGGACGTTGTAGACTGGGGCCTTGGTGGCGAAAGTGTCGAACATGGTCTTGTATTAGGTAGCAAAACTTTGGTTGGCCGAAATGACGTCTTTGGCCATGTACCGAACTATTCTCCCAGGTTTGTTTCCAGAACTCGGCATTTGGAGAAAAGAAAAGGGAAGAAAGAAAAAAAATGATCAACATGAAACCAGGGTAGAAACTTAGTTGGACGAGACGAGAGAAAAGGTGTGGAGTTTCTGGTCCTGGTGAGGAAACACCCGCGGCAACCTAGATTTGTTGGCGAGCTTGCACCTTTTCCGACGGTTGGGGTAGCTTCCGGCAACACGGGTTTGACGGGTCTGGTAATTTGTACTCGGGAAAAAAAATGCAAGTTGTGCTTGCTGAGATCGAATTACGTGGGTGGCTAATAAGGCAGATAGAATGGACGCATCCAATGAGGACAAGGGACCACGGATGGTATCAAGAAATGGGATTAATTGTAGTCTGGTCCAAAACTTGCAAGAAAGCTTGCTTTTTATTATGTAGTGGTGTGGAGCTTGGAAGGTACATGAATTGTAGGCGGGCGTTGGTGCAGGGTGTAAGTAGCGCAGGTAGCCGGAGCAAACTTCCCGGAGCGGCGAACGATCGCCCAATGCGGGGAGCCCAGGCTTCCTTCCCCTCACCAGGTTACATGCAGGGCAGCCAAGGCAACGATGGCCAGCAAAGAAAACAAGAGTTGCACCGCCACACAAGTGCCGCCTTCGAGTCACAGAGAATCCATGGGGCATCTAGTTGGTTGATTCGGGGGAGGACGACGTCTCCTCAGACAGGCAAGCAGCGACAGAACTGTGACTAGGCAGGCAAGATAATGCTCAATATTGGTAATATTGGTGGCCGCTTTTTTCCCCTCACTCAGTCACTCTCTTCTATGGAGCATGGAGCTTCAGCCACACATGTCCAAAAAAAAAAGGACAGGACTTGCCGGACCACATGGCATGTGTCGATTGGCGTCGTATTTTTGTGTTTTTATTTTGTTGTTTTTATTTCCATCTTACTACCATCAATATTATTTCTTTGCTTGACTATGTACGCCGCTTTTCTTCACTGATGGTTCTGGAAAGCACCCGCACACGGCCGTGCGGGCGAAACCTACCAGGTTTTTGGGTTTTAGACCACCACCTTCGATTGATTGCGGTCAAGCCACATCCGCCAGCAGACCAAAAACCCTGGCTCTGCGTCTTCGTTTCCCCTCTTATTTGGTTTCCAATGTGCGGGCCAGCACTTCTAATTAGTTCACTAGACCGAGCTTTTTTTTTTACTTTCTCGCCTGTGCCACGCAGCTGCTGGCAAAGTTCGATGAAGCCTGGGATCGTCGATCTAGGCTTTGGCGGTGCAACCGTTTTCCTTGCCCCGTGAGTGGCTCCCGCTTTTTTACTGCTCCCCCCTCCTTCCTCCCCGATGATGGCAGTGGCTCAACCCGGCAGGAGCAGAATGTCCATATTCCCAGTTTTCTTACTGCGTTCTCAAGTCACCTTTCCTTGCCGTTTTTGTGCCAATTTGTAAAATCCCATATATATGCTACGCCCCAGAAGTGTGGCTGGGCTCCTCCTGCCGCAACGACCTCTTTTACCACCACCTCATCCGTCCCATCACTCTCCTACACACATACACCACCTACATCATTTCGCCACAGCTGTCAAACGCTATTCACCCATACAAGATCAACCTCAATTCCTCGACCACGAAGCTCCATTCTTCGTCGGATTTCATTGCTAGCTTGCTAGAAACTGCCCCAATTCATCTTCGACACGCCGCTCAGCTCCTTCCTCTTCACCACACTGGCCTGCACCTCTTACACGCCAACTGAGCAATCTCACGCTGCTCCCAACAACCAAACACCGCACTCACCCGCTCGGCACAGGTCATGAATAACTCACAACTAGACCCCGGCCTATCCGCTATGCTTGCCGGAACCAATCTATCCATCGACCCTGTCGCTCTTTTGCATCAGCACAATCAGGAACAGCCGCTCTTTGAGAAAGACACATCCTCCTCTCGTACCACATCCACCTCGTCTGTGCCGCGATTATCCACGCCCGACACAGAAAACGACGACGACAAGTCTGAGAAGGAAGACGACGACACACCACAAAACCCCAAAACGAGAAGCAAGACCAAAATGCCCGCCGCCTCGACACGGTCCAAAACCAATGCGGCGCCCACCAAGTCCAAACGGGGCGGCGCCGCTACCGGCACCGCCGACAAACGGCGCAAGCGTAACCTTGAGAGGAATCGCGCCGCCGCGTCCAAGTGCCGCCAGCGCAAGAAGCAGTGGCAGGACGGCCTCGAACGCAAAAAGATGGAGCTCGAGAGTCGGTACAAGTCCCTCCACGCCGAGGTCAAGGACCTCATGGAGGAGGTGGCCCAGCTCAAGAACTTTGTCATGGCCCACGGCGCCTGCAACGACGCCAACATTGACGACTGGATTCGCAACGAGGCCGACAGTTTCGTCCGTCGCATGAGCGCCGCCCAGATGCAGCAGAACGCTGCCGCCCACAGTGCGACACTTTCCGCCGCATCCATGTCCCAGATGCAGTCACCGCTGCAGGGTTCCCTAACGGCGACACCGCCGATGAATGGTACGTGGGCGGATGAGTATGTTTGGGGAGTGAATGGAATTGCATACTAACTACCTAGGGAGCAGATTCTCTCAACAACATGTTTGCTCCCGCGGGCTCCGAATCGCCCTTTGACAAAATCCACTCCAATGATCTGCGGCCCGGCGGCGCTGGAGACGCAGTTGACCAAAACAACAACATCTTCAATCAAGATTTACTTATGATGTCTTCCATTCAGACATGACGAGACATCATGATTCTTCCTTATTCTTGTCATTTTTTTGTACCAACATTTTCGCACCCCTTCTACACGACATTGTGCGCTTTTTCATCTAATTTGTCTTTCTGCTTGGCGTTGGTACTCCTTTATCTGCACGCGATCATGACCACAAGAACAAACTACACACGACTTTGGAGGCACTGGCAACGGGCATACGGTACTGGCGATTTTTTTTCCTGTTGAAAAAGTGTTTCTTGCTTTCTTCAAATGGGTCTTGATAACTTTTCTTAATTCACCGGAAATTTCAAAGGGCGTTTGATATGGATCATCTTTTCTTAACGACTTTGATGTTGACCTTTCGGGGTTTTATATAGTACAATATGATTCAGCTGCAACTTTTGGTCGCAACTACTCTCTCTCTCTCTCTCTCTCTCCTCGCTACCACTAAATCATTCAATGGACACATGTGTGCCCTCCACCACATGTATATGCTGACAATGTTACAATGAAACTGAAAGAATAGGTTGTATACATGACAAAAGACGTGGGTAGAACACCCCTTCGTCTCCGCCACTCAGCGACGCTTGGTCCATCCCCGCGCGTTGGAGATGCCCTTGATGCGCTTCGTGTACTTGTTCAGGTGGAGGTACTTTGCGCTCTGGTGCTTGGCCTCCCAGCCGCGCGCCTTGATGGCGGGCTTGAGGCTGTAGACGCGCTGCGGACGGAGCTCGACATCGGCGCCGTCGACGCCGCTGCGGGCCATGACCTCGGCCGTGTGCTCGTCCCACTCGCTGCGGAACATGGTGAAGCCGACGGGCGTGAGGGCAAACTTGTCGCGAAACGACTTGAGCGAGAAGCGGTCGCGCGCGGCGGCGTAGAGCGCCTTGATCCTGGCGGCGTCGACCGTCTGCCCGGGGGTCTGCTCGAGCACGAAGACGGCGAGACGGTGGTAGGGCGCGCCCTTGATGGCGTGCGGCGGCAGCCACGGCACGGGCACGTCGGCGTCGGCGAGCAGCGGCAGGGCGAGCACGGGCCGGGACGGGCACAGGGGCACGTTGGCGGCGACGTAGTGGCAGCGCTTGAAGAAGGCGTTGGCCTCGACGTCGGGCACGTCGGCGTCGACGACGACGACGGTCACGAGCCGCTCGCCCTGCCCGTCAAAGGCCTGCACCTTGAGGCGCGGCGCGCGCTCCGAGACGTGGCTGGGCACGACGCCCCCGGGAGGGATCTTGGCCCCGTCAAAGTAGAGCTGCACGTCGACGACGGGGTCCAGCTTGGGCAGCACGTCGGGGACGATGCTGAACTGCGCGATGCGCTGCTGGATGAGCTTGTAGTCGTACGCGCGCCACTTTTTCTCGGCGAGGTGGCGGTAGATGGGCTTGGTCATGTCACCTGTTGTTTGCACGTTTTTGGTTAGTCAACTCGGAGGAGAAGTGGCAGTGTCCACAAGCGTACCGAGGCCGTCTTCGAAGCGTCGCTTGACGAGGGGGTCGTTGATGTCCGCCAGGATCGTCAGCCGGTGCGCCTCCTTGCGCAGGCTCCGCAGCCGGATCTGCTTCATCGTCTCGCCGCCCTTGACCGTGGCCGCGTCCTGCGCCTCGAGCGCGGCCGCCTTGGCGACCGTGGCCTGCAGGCTGGCCACCTTGGTCGCGCGGTCCGCGGCGAGGATCTTGCGCGCCTCCTGGAACGCCTGGTACGGCAGCTGCTCAAAGGGCAGGCTGCCCGTGGTGCGGATCGCCTCGCGGCGGCGCCGCGACCCGATGGGCATCGTGCCCTGGTCCATAAGCTCCTGCTCGCGCTCGCGCGGGACCGTGTTGGGGTCGAGGAGGTCCGGAGCGCTCGGCGTCGTCGTGCCTGTCGTCGTCGTCGTTGATGTGGGCTCCTGAGTTGTCGTCGTCGTCTCGGAGGCGCGCACGGGGGTGCTCGAAAACGTCCGGATGACGCATTGTGGTGTCAATTGCCTCGTCAGCGGTCTTGTGACCGCACGACACCCTGACATTGTGATTGTCCGAGGATGCTTAGAATTCTTTTTGGGGCTGCAGGAAAGTCGAGCGTGATGTATTGCCTGAAAAGCTGCAGGAGGCCAGCGCCCCACTGAAATTTGCTCGCTGGCGGAAGCACACCGGCCCGTTTTTTTCTTGGTGTCACGATTTTCCGGTGCTTCGCTCGCCATTGCGACAACGACATCGATTGTACAAGTCAGACGTCGAATCGGCATCCATTGCGTGTCAGGACGACGTATAGTTTGTTAGAAAATGGCGGCCAGAACCACAGGATGCCTCTCTGAGGCGCTAGCAGCGCTGCGGATATCAGCGACCAAGGTCCGTCCTCTCCAAACGATTCTCCTATTTGTCGTCTTGCGATCTCTAATCAACCCGCAGCCAGCTACCGTTGGCAGAACCTTTACTCGATCCATGGCTACCGAGTCGCCAGCCTCCGATATCACAAGATCCACCTCGACACCGCAAAAAATCATTCAATCCTGGAACCCAAGTACGCAGCCACCCCAATCTCTCCCCAAACTCACCAAGCTAACGACGTACCTGCCAACAGTCAGCACCGTCCCCGTCACCATCCACAGCTTCCCGGCCCTCGAACCAACCTCCCTCGAGCAATGGTCCGTTAACCACCTGTACCTGCCGCTGCGGCGAGACCTGCTCTACAGCGCCGTCGTCTTCGAGGGCGACAACACGCGGCAGGGCACCGCCTCGAGCAAGACACGCTACGAGGTGCACGGCTCGCACCGCAAGATCCGGCCGCAAAAGGGCTCCGGCCGCGCGCGCCTCGGCACCCGCCAGAGCCCGTCCATCAAGGGCGGCGGCAAGACGTTTGGCCCGCACCCGCGCGACTTCGGCACCAAGCTCAACCGCAAGGTCTACGACAAGGCCTGGCGCACCGCCCTCAGCTACCGCTACCGCCGCGGCGAGCTCGTCGTCTGCGAGGACGGCATGGAGCTCGCCGTCCCGGAGGACTTTGCCCGCGTCGCCCACCACTTCAAGGACGGCCTGCGCGAGGCCTACCTCGAAAAGTACATGCGCGGCGTGCTCGCGGCGCTGCGGCTCGGCCGGGCCGACGGCCGCACGCTCTTCGTCACGGGGGATCGCCGGGACTGGCTGTATTCCGCCATGGCGGGGCTCCCGGGCGAGGGACGCGCGCTGGGCCTGCCCGACGTGGATGTCAAGGACCTGCTCGAGACGGGCAAGGTTGTCATGGAGAGGAGCGTGCTCAAGGAGATGATGGAGCAGCACCAGAGTGATTTGGTCACCCGCATTGTGGTTGGCGGTCTGCCGGGAAAGGGGCCTCAAACTGGTGAGAAAGTGTTGTAAACACGCGTGAGCAGGGAAATACAAACTGTGCAATCAAAAGTCGTTGCATAAAGTCAGCCATATTGTACCATATCAAACCACCTGTAGAGTGTATTATTTTATGTCAGCATTGTATACTTGACAGTTCCTCGCGATTGTCCGGATTCTATATGCAAATGTGTCTATTCTACTGGTATCTTGCTTATGCGAACAGGCGAGGCCACGGCTCCCCGTTTAAAACGAAATGAAGGGCTACTTTCTACAACGCGCCACCGACGAGCGACACGATCCACATGGCGATGCGGACCTTGAGGCCGACCCTGCGCTCATTCGTCGAAAAGTCCTCTCTCGTCATCGTCCGCGCGTGCTCCTGCAGCCACTCCTGCTCGCCCTTGAGCCTTCCCTTGAGCCCCTCGTCCCGCGTCACGATGAGGGCGCCGACCTCGAGATCATGCGAGTAGCTGCGCTTCGTGTAGTTGGAGCTGCCAATGACGCTCATCGACGGCCCGGCTGCCTCGTCGCCGGGCATGGCCACCCAGAGGCCCTTGGCGTGGTACGTCCAGCCGCCGGGTTGGCCGACGGTCCCGTGGCGCCACTCCTTGAGGGCAATGTCGGCGCCGCGGCCGCCGTGGTGCGCGGCGTGCACGAAGCGCTTCGCCAGCAGCGTGTACGCGTCCGGCAGCAGGCCGGCGACGCCCGGCGCGCGGTAGAAGCCGTTGGCCTCGGGGGCGGCGGTGATGACGACGTTGTTGCGCGCCGACGAGGCGGTGGCGAGGAGCAGCCTGGTCAGCGACGGGGCGGGGTTGAAGTAGCCAGCGGTAAATGTCCATGAGGAGCCGCGGTAGGCAGGCGCGGCGAGGCGCGTCAGGATGCTGGTGATGACGGGCAGCTCGGTGGACGGGTCGGGCGCGGTGGTGATTTGGGACATTTGCCCGAGGAGGTACACGCGCGTGTCGTCGAGGGCCGAAGGGGGTGGGCGGCCGGACGCGGCGAGGAGCGGTGTGAGGAGGGACGTGGCGCCGCGAATAAAGGCGTGAGGGTCGTCGAGAGGGGAGGGTGTCGGGTTGGTAGCGGGCCAAGCGAGTGTGAAGCCGGCGGCTTGGTCAGAGGGCGTGACGAGGAAGCTCAGCGAGGAGACGCCATGGTGGATGTTACAGAAGTGATCGGTGACTTGCTTGGACTTGAAGAGGTGGTATCTGTCCTGGCGGTTGGTGAAGTAGTCGGTAGAGAGGTTGGCTCTTGACTTTAAAGTCAGCATTTGGTTCTTGTTTCAGTCATCTTGGCAAAACGTACCCGGACAGGATAATCTCGTCGTCGACGCCGTAGAGCTTCATGTGCTGCAGGCCCCAGCCCTCGTTGATGCGCTTGGGGATGTACTTTTTGCGCAGCCCCGTCAGGTTGGGCGTGTGGTACATGCGAACCTCGACACGGTCGGCCCCAAACTCGGCCACCAGCGGCGCCACCAGCGACGCGCACGACGGGTCCGGCGCCTCGCGCGTGCCGCGGAGGCAATCGGCCAGGATGCTCAGCGTCAGCTGCGGGTTGCGCCGGAGCGCGTCCCGCAGCGTCTCGATGAGCTCGCGCTCCGACTTGCCAATGTACAGGGTCGACAGGAAGATGCGGCTCTTGGCGTTGCGTATGCGCTCCTGCGAAGAAGCCGGCCGTTAGTTGGGACGTGGGCGGCGGGATAGGAGAAATGGGTGGTTCACCTTGAGGGTTTCGTAGAATTCGGTCGGTGTTTGTAGGATCTGGATCTGGTCACCGCGCAGGTCGATGCTCGGGGCGAGCTTGTCGAGCTCAGTGACAAAGGGCGCCAGCACGCCGGCTTTGCTGATCGCTGGTGTAGGCACGCCGGACGGCGTCGCATAGTGGCGAGCTTGCGCTCTGGCGATGGAGAGCTGTGAAGGTCGCGATTGGAGGCGCCTGCGGGTGACGCATCGGCAGCAGCTTCGAGCAAACATGTTTTCACCTCTAAGCACCAGGATAAACCTCAAAGGAGAAGGCAAGACGCTCATCCACAGCCAAGGAATTGCAAAACACGCCTGAGGGTGTGATGCGAGTTGATTCTCATAACCATAGTGGAGTCTTCTAGAGAGCCACTAGACCATATCAGGCAGTGTTTCCTTAGCGTCAAGAATTTCAAGAAGAAAATGCCTTTGGGGACAAGAGCAAACTATTATAAGTGGCCAAGAGACAAGCAAGGCTGTAATACAGCGAGGCACGGCACCCGAGGTTCAGTTTTCGCTGATGAAATCCACGACTTTGAACAGGGAACGTAGAAAACTTGAAAGTGAACGGTCTTTGCCTAAAGGTGTAGGGAATTTGTCCTAGGAAATAGATGCCGCTCTTCCTGTTCGCCGCACATGAGATTTAACATACCTAGCGATCTTACTATAAAGAGGAAAGATTTTAAGAATCTAAAAGGAGGAGGTCTTCATCATCTCTACGCGATGGTTCTTCTTGGTTTACTAGGCAATTGCTTAGCATGGGTGTCGTGGTCAAACGGTTGCGACCGTTTGTGACATGCAACGAGGGCCACTACCCGAGTCTCTCCCAGAATCTAGCCCGTGACAAGCATTTACAATGCAGTACCTGTTCACAAGTATGCCTGATCACACCAAGTTGAGAACTGCGTCAAGAAACCCCACGCCATGGCTTCCCTCACCGGCAGGGACCATGCTGCCGCGCCCGTCACTGGTGAAGCCATTGGAGAGGAACAGGCCGACCAGTCTTGCTACCTCGATTCGGTCTTTCTGCTCCTGGGAGACGAGTCCTGTGGTGCTGTAAAACACGTCCCAGAACAGCTTTCGAAGGGCCTGCTGGTTGGCATGGTAGCGCCAGCCAGTGGTCCCGTTCGGTTTCATGATGCCGACCCCGAGCATAGTTTCGAGACCGCCCAGCGACATGCCGAAGGGGCTGATCTCGACGTCCCTCCAGTCGCAGATGCCCTTGAGCTTCCCCGTCACCGGGTCGACGTGGATGTTGTTCTCCAGGAGGTCGGTGTGGTTGGGCACCATAGGCCATGCCCCGTCAAAGAGCTGTGGAAGCTGCGCGATGAGTCTGTCCAGAGTTGAGCGATAGCGCTGGGGCATCCCTGCTGAGAGCTGCGAGAGCTGCGACGAGTAGCTGGCGAATAGGTCTCCGGGGTTTGGACACGTCAGTGACATTGGCCTATTGAGCCAGGCGGAGGCAAAGAACCTGCATCGGCACAGTCAGTTGCACGGGCCCCCGTTTAAACCAAGCGGCGGTAGTGTTCACAAACCTAGCATAGTCTTGCACAGTTTGGTGCAGGAGCTTGCAGTCATCTTTTTGCAGGTCGACCCGCGCGAGATACATCGAGATACCGCCCACATCATCCATGGTATAGATGTCGAGCTTACCGAGCTTTCCTCTGCTCGAGGGAACTGGTGTAAAGCCCGGGTAGGCTTGTCCGACACATTGGAGAAGCTCGAGGTCGAGAGCAGAGTCGCCGGCGCGAAACTGGACAATGACTTTGCCACCGATAACGGTGTAGCTGTCTCCGCCTTGCACAGCAGTTGGGTTGACAGAGGTACCCGCGATGAGGTCGGCGGTTGCGTTACATTCTGCTTGCGTGCAGGGGGTGTGCCTCGCGAAGAACTGCGAGATCTGATGCTTGGACAGACTAGCAATACTGGCCTCCATTGTGTGTTTAGTGGTTTTTCACGAGTCATGCATTCGTTGAGACTGCGAGGCTTGTGTGGGTCCTGGCTGGCTAATAGAGATCTCTGGTATAAAAAGCCGGGATTTTACTTTATATTATCTTATAAATAGTATAATCTTGATTGTATATGAATTTATAATAAAATTACTTAAATGGCCTATTGAATTTAATTAGAGAAACCGGCTCTCTATCCAATAAGTATTTAAGTACTCTATTTTATTACTAGATCTTAGCTTCAACGGAGCTCCCATTGGCTCTTGAGCGGCGTAAAGTGGGTACCCGCCGAAGATGAGCCGCCCAACTCGCAGCATCATTCCGACCGAACCTTTGACTCTCGCACGACGATTGATTGCTTCGCCAAACACACCCGCAGCCATGTCGACCATTCCGCGAACGCTGCGCAACATCCGCAAGGTTGGAATCAAGGTACGAGGCGAACTGGGCCGTCGCGCCCCGGACCCCAATGGATCACCGCCCCCCCCCCCCCAGGGAAACAAGACGCTGACGTTCAACAGGACTACTTGGTTCAGATGTGGGTATGTATTCGACGACGGAACCCAGACGGCACAACGACGAGATGGAAAAGCATGGACAATGGCTGACCGCAGCGTGTGCTTCGCTCAAACTTTTAGTATATCGGTACGATTGATGCCTCCTCCCCCGCTCCACGCGCAATTTGACCATCAAAACACCTCGACGAATGACAACACCGGCTAACGTATGAGGGCACACCCTGCAGGCGATACCAAGGCCGGCACATACATGGGCAAGGACCGCGCCGGCAACAAGTACTTTGAGAATGGCGAGGAGCTGCCCCTGCGCACGCGCTGGGTCGAGTACGCCAAGCACGACTTTGACGCCGCCCACATCGAGCCCGGCTGGCACGCCTGGATGAGCTACGTCGTCGACGCCGTGCCCGGCGACGACCCCCTCCTCACCGCCGGCACCCGCAAGTTTGAGCCCGCTCTGCCCAAGCCAAACTACACGCAGACGCCCGGCGCCTTCAAGACATACAACACGTGCGTTTTTTTTTTCCCCAAGTCGAAGATGTGGTGAGGAAAAGCGGGTGCTAACTCTGTTTTTTAACTTTTGCAGCACCAAGAGCAAGCTTACCGCCTGGCAGCCCGTCGCGGCACCGAGATCATAAATCGTGGTCGAGGCAAGGAGGTTTGCTTGTGGGGGTAGACAGGAGTGTACATAATTAGAGGTATAGCTGGAGCCAATCTTGACCTTGTCACAATCAACAAGAAAAACATCATCATCGCTTGGTACTTTGAGACTCGTGTGAACTGGATGAACTTTAGACCAAGGTGGAACCACTATATGAAAACTGAAACCCGGGCATTGCTTTTGCTCCGATCAAAAAACATCTCATCTACCACAATTTACCCAAGATATTGCCATGACAAGAGAATTTCCAACTCGCAAGGCAACACCGAAATGGCGCACGTGTATATCAAAAAATGTCTACTACTTGGACTGAAGGGCCGTCTTGATGGCTGCACAGAGTTTTGTTAGTACGGGCTGGAGAAAACACAGGGTTGGAAGAATCGTACCTTCGCAAGTATCCTTGGCATCGCCAAACAGCATCTTGGTGTTGGGCATGTAGAACATGGGGTTTGGTACATCAGCTGCAACACCTCGTCAGCACGTCACAGCATGCGAACTTCGCACGCATCACTTACCATAGCCGCTGGCCATGCCACGCTTCATCACGACGACCTGCTTGCTCTTCCACGCGTGCAGCACGGGCATGCCCTCGATGGCGCTGCCCTTTTCCATGGCAATCGGGTTGACGGTGTCGTTGGCGCCAATGACGACGGTCAGGTCCGTGTCGGGAAAGTCGTCGTTGATCTCGTCCATTTCGAGGACAATGTCGTACGGGACGCTCGCCTCGGCGAGCAGCACGTTGCACTGGCCGGGCATGCGGCCGGCGACGGGGTGGATGGCGAAGCGCACCGTGATGCCCTTGGCGCGCAGCAGCGCCACAATCTCCGAGATGGCGTACTGCGCCTTGGCCACGGCCATGCCGTAGCCGACGACGAGGATCACCGACTCCGAGTTGAGCAGCGCGTCGGCCAGCTCGTCGCTCGACGTCTTCGTCACCTCGCCCTGCGGCTGGTACTCCTGCGCCTCGGCCGCCGGCGCCGAGAGCCCGCCAAAGAGGACATTGGTCAGCGACCGGTTCATGGCCACGCACATGACGTACGAGAGGATGGAGCCCGACACGCCAATGAGCGCCCCGACCGTCGTCAGGAGCGAGTTGTCCAGCATGAAGCCCTCGGCGACGAGCGCGAAGCCCGAGTAGGCGTTGAGCACCGTGATGACGACGGGCATGTCGGCGCCGCCAATGGCCGCCGTAGTCGTGTACCCCTTGATGAAGCTCATGACGGCGTTGGCTGTCAGCGCGCCCGCGGCAATCAGCGGCGCGCCGGGCGCCATGGTGATGAAGGCGCCCATGGTGGCCATGTTACCGGCCAAGAGGCCGCCGTTGATAAAGTGTCGCCCAGGCAGGATCTTGGGCTTGGAAGACATTCTGCCGCCCAGTTTCAGGAACGCAACGATGGAGCCAGTAAATGTGATGCCACCTAGCCACTGTTAACTATAAAGACGGGGGACGAAGAGAAGAGCGCATACCGATCAAAACACCGAGGTAGCCAGTGACCATGTGCAGGGTGGAAATGTCTTGGATGCCGGCCATGACACTGCCAATACTGGTCAGGACAGCAGCGAGACCGACAACAGAGTGCAAAGCAGCAACGGTTTGGGGAAGATCAGTGGGCGTGATGCGCTTGCCGATCAAAGCACCTAGAGAGGCCAGGTCAGTATCAATTCCTTGACAATGATTGATTAGCGCAAACCTACCAGCAAGAATACCAATGGAAGCGAGTGCGCCAAATTGGGTCAAGACCTCGGGAGAGAAGCCGGCAGCCAACAGGCTGGCCAGGACACCGGAAGATACACCGAGCATGCCGAGCATATTGCCCATGCGGGCAGTGGATTGCGAGGCCAGACTAGAAAGAGAGCCGATGCACAAAACAGAGGAAGCAAGGTAGCCGGCCTGGACCAGGCCACCAACACCGGTCGCCGCGGCCGCGACGAAGCCACCGCCAAACACGGCAGCAGGAACAGCATAAAGCCAGGGGTACTCGGGGGGGTCAGTAGGGCCTATTTTCACCACGTCAGAAGAATTGCAGTGCGACGGGGCCACGGGTCAGACGTACGTTTAAACATGTCGAGCATACGCTTGGTAATGACGAAGCCACCACCGACATTGACAAAGGCGAGCAAAACGCTCAGCGCACCGAGCGTCTGGGGAATAGTGCCGGGCAGGTACCCTCCGCCGAGGATGAACAGACCGCCGACGCCAACCATGCCGGAAATGGCATTGGTGACGCTCATGAGCGGCGAGTGCAGGGCCGGGGCGACGCCCCAGATGACGCGGTACCCAATCAGACTGGCCAGGGCAAACGTAAAGGCGTTGGACATGAAGAGCGGGCTGGTAAACTTGCCGAGCGCGAGCACCGAGGCCATGCCGCCGGTGACGAAGCCGACCTCGCGCGACTTTACTTGCCAGGGCGTGAGCGCGACGGGCTCGGGGACGGCTTCGGCGGCGGCGGCGGGCTTGGCGGCCGGAGGCGGCGGCGCGGGGCGCGGGGCGGGCGGTATGATGTCGCCTTTGAGGGTGACGATGGCGCCGCGCACAACCTCGTCGGAAAGGTCGATGCCAAAGGCCTGCTCCTGCGGGGCCATAGAGAGCAGGAACTTGGTGATGTTGTTCGAGTACAGAGTAGAGGACTGGGTGGGCAGCCGCGAGGGGAGGTCGGTGTAGCCTGTACAGGCAGTGTTAGTGAAGGTGCGCACAAGTGAAGAGGCGTGGCTCTCATGTACCAATAACCTTGACGTCGTTGTAGACGGCCAGCTCGCCCGGCTTGGTGGCTTCGCAGTTGCCTCCTGCCTCGGCAGCGAGATCAACAATGACACTGCCAGGCTTCATGACGTCGAGCATGTCCATCTTGAGGAGCTTGGGGGCGGGTTTTCCGGGGATGAGGGCGGTGGTGATGATGATGTCGACGTCCTTGGCCTGCTCCTTGAACAGCTTCATCTCGGCGTCGATGAACTCCTTGCTCATCTCCTTGGCGTAGCCGCCGGCGCCGGAGCCGTCCTCGTCAATCTCGACCTCGATGAACTCGGCGCCGAGCGACTGGACCTGCTCGCGGGCGGCGGGGCGGGTGTCGAAGCCGCGGACGATGGCGCCCATGCGGCGGGCGGTGGCGATGGCGCTGAGGCCGGCGACGCCGGCGCCGATGACGAGGACCTTGCAGGGCGGGATCTTGCCGGCGGCCGTGACCTGGCCGGTGAGGAAGCGGCCAAAGACGTTGGAGGCCTCGAGCACGGCCTTGTAGCCGGCAATGTTGGCCATGCTGCTGAGGGCGTCAAAGACCTGCGCGCGCGAGATGCGCGGGATCATGTCCATGGCGAGGCACGTGGCGTGGCGGCTGGCAATCTTTTCGACGAGCGCCTTGTTCTGCGCGGGCTGTAGCAGTGAGATGATGGTCTGGTGGTCCCGGATCGCGTCGACCTCGTCCAGGGACGGGCCGCGGACCTTGAGCACGATGTGCGCCTGGGACCAGATGGCGGCGGCGTCGGCGACGAGCGTCGCGCCGGCTTTCTCGTACGCCGAGTCGAGGAAGTCGGCGGCGGTACCGGCGCCGCGCTGGACGAGGACCTTGGCGTAGCCCTTTTTCAGCAGCACGGCAACGTTGGCGGGTGTGACGGCCACGCGGCGCTCGCCGGCAAAGGTCTCGGTGGGCACGCCGACGGTGAGCTGGGCATAGGGCGTGGTCTGCGGGAGCACGACGGTCGAGTAGCGCTTGGGCGGCGGCGGGAGGAGCGCGACTACCGCGGCATGGCGGCGGGCAAGAGCGAGCGGCGTTGCGGCGGCGGCGGCGGGCACCGAGGAGGAGGCGGTGGACGAGGCCTTGTTGAGCGTGGTGAGCCACCGGCGTCGGCGGCTGCTGCTGCTGCTGCTGACCAGCAGTCTGCCATCTAGCACGGGGCGAATTGGCGTTAGCAACTGGCCAGGAGAAAATATTGGGTACCCGAGGCAAATTGGTTTTTCAGCGCGTCGTGCAAAACGCTGCGGGAAGCCAGAATGGGAAAGTTGTCTTTGAGCCGTTTGTAATACCTTGGAAGCTGATGCGCGCAAGTCGAGCGGGCGCGGCAGACGAGGACGAAGAGAGCTCGCAAGCCAATGGGCGCAGGAAATGGGACGCCATTGCTTCTAGACGGCACTCATCTGCGGCGACTGGAGTATTTTGGGGGTGCGGAGGAAGGGAAAGAAGAAAAAAAAAGAGGAAGCTCGCGAGGGTCCGGTTCGGCGGTGGTGGTGTTTTTTTGCGTGTAGCCGATGGGCGATCTTGAGTCACCGATGGCGGAGCTTGCTACTGTGGATGCGATCTCCGAGTAGCCAGGGCCGGAGATGCGAGGTACAGCTCGCGTGAAGGATGAGGTGTAGCAACGCAGCAAAAAAAAAAAGGAGAGAAGCAACGGACGAAGAAGAAGAGAAAGAAAAACAAAGGCGCTGAGGAGGAGGGGAAGGGGACTGTACAAGGGCAGCAAGACAAGACACAGCCACCCAGGGCACAAAACTTTCAGGTACACACCCCAGTGCTGTCGGGCGGCCCCAAAATGTACTAAAAACACCGACAGCTTCCATCTGTGGCTGGCTTGGGAGGGACGGCGCGTGGCCGGTGCCTCCACAAGGGGAAACTCATGACGCAGCGCTACTGCAAGCTACGGCGCCAGTTGCAAGGTAGCATGATGGCTGGTAGTTTGGACGGGCTTCGAGGCTGTCACCATCCATCAAGGAATTATCAATACGTCCGAGTAATGCCCATCGCTGTAGTGGGGGGAGGGGAGCGCTAAAACCTGGGGGTGGGACACCTGCCACCTGCCACTACCCTAAAAACATGCCATTGTCCAGTAACTACATACAAGAATTGAAGCTCAAGGCATTTGGTCTTTTGCATGAACCCAGAGTCTTGGAGGCTGAAACAGTGAACTGTGGCGAGCAGCTGTCCTCGAGCGCAAAGACTGCAAGCAGCTCCCCCCCCCTGTTCCATGGTTTCCATGGTCAGCTGCTATAGCAAATTCACTGCGCTCTTGGCGTGTACTTGCGCCGCGGGGTTGCCATTCTGTTAATAATAGAATGGCCAGCTCGCATCTCGCAACCCCCCCTCACCATTATACGCTACCCATTCCTGCACCTGTGCATGCATTGATAACTCGGCGAACCTGGCTGGCCGCGGATTCGGTCATCTTGCATGTTTTCTATTAATGAATAATAATGAAAAAAATAAAACGCCCAGCTAGGTGGGCCAACGAGCGTAGAGAAGGGCAAGGTGTGTGTAGCAATTTCCGTCCCATGTCGGAATACTGTAGCAAGACCATCATCGTTTTTCTTTTATCCTCCAGCGTGTGCTTCCTTGTAAAACCAAATAAAGAGCAACACTCGTGCAAAATCCACAACTACTTGTGACCATAGCACGGCGTCTCGCACCGGCCTCTGAAATCCGGCCCGACATTCAGGCACTTGTCGCACCCGCACAAGAGGTCCAGGTCCGTGCCGACCTTTTGATCTGCTTCCTTGCAGAGGCAGATGAAGACGGCATTGTTCACGTCGCTCGCCGGCTTGCCGTTGGGGCACGACGCGTTGACCGTGCTGCAGTACGCGTCTGTGAGTTCCTTGTTGGACCACGGCGTTTCTGCAAGTCCTTGTCAGCAGCCTTTTTTTTTTTTCACACGACACGGAGAAGAAAAACTTGGCACGTACTCATCGCCTTGAGGACTGAGGCGCAGTAGGTGTAGCCGCACTCGCAGATGGGGCCCTTGGGG